ATCTTCAACAGAAACTAGCAGCTCTTTAAATAAATTTTTAAAAATATGCACTTAACAACAGTGCTCAGACTATACTTGAACCCTTTTAGCACTTTATTTTTCAAAACAATCCCGATTCTTCAGTTGAAATTTACATGTTTCAAAGTTTTGTCTTTCCAGTAGCCAGTTCCTTTACTAATACCGTTTTCCAAAGCTGACCTCAATTCTCAACTTTTTACCTTTTCAAGCAAAGCTTTTGGACTACTTTTTACCCAAAATTCCCCGATCTTCATTCACAAACCAAAATAGAAAGACGAAGAACCAAAATAGGGATCAAGATTTGATTGAAATCGAAATCAAACACAAACTTTTGCAGAAAAAAAAAATAGCAGGAGAACTCGTTTCAAATCCGTGATTTCATTTCCTTTTCCCAATTTCTCCCATCCAGCTGATCCAAAAGTTCGTTTCAAATGGGGAAAACAGGAGAAAAGCTCTTCTTTTCCCGATTTCCACACTCTTTTTTTTTTTAAAAACTTTGCATTTTCACGGCTTTCTGTTGGGTTTTTTTGATCGCCGACGACACATTTTGACTTTGACCAAAATCGATACAAGTTGGAAAGATTGATTTTCTTTTTAAGGTTCTTTTTTCAACAATATTATCTGTCGGTTAAATTATGTTTCAAAATCAGCACAATAAGGCGATCATTTTGAAACTGAGCTTTATTTTTGATTTTTTTTTTAAAAATTTGTGCTTTCTTTAACTTTGAATTGAATTGTTTAATCAAATAAAACAGAAAAATAGTTTTGATTTTAAATGCAGCTTCAAATCTCAGCTTTTTCAAGCGATTAAGCTTTTGTTCCTGAAAGAAATATGATTTAAATTGCTCAAAATCGATTTCCGATTTTCAAATTCATTAAATCTATCTTTAAAAATTAAAAAATTTAAAACTATATTTAAAAATCAATATATAAAGTGGTGAATTTTGAAACTAAATCGTTTTTTGATAATTGAAAAAGGTTGTAAAGATTTTCGTTTTTGAAATTTTCGACTTTCTAAAAGACTATATTCCTTTGGTAATATTTTCAAGGAATTCCTCGTTCAAGGGAAATAATTGCAATTCCCTATCCCGATCACGGAATCTTTTCAACGGTTTGCCAGTGACCCTTCGGTCATGGAACACGTTGCAGACTCCAGTGTAGCACGCGTGCAGCCCCGAACATCTAAGGGCATCACAGACCTGTTATTGCGCACTTTCGTGCGGCTCGATACCGCCAATTCCTCTAAGAACACCTGCGAACGAAATTATTCGCGGTGTATTAAGTAGGGGTGCGTCTCGCTCGTTATCGGAATAAACCAGACAAATCGCTCCACCAATATTATCTAAATATCTAACCAAATAGCTTAGCGCAATGCTAGTAGTCTTTTTTTCAATCAATAAAACACTAGTTTTTGAACGAAATCTTAAATGAACTGTGAAATTGGACTGTGAAAATGTTGCAGTTTCAATTTTCTTCACCACTTTTGAAAATTCCTTCTCTCAATGTGCGGTAATTTCTCTTCTTGTCAAGTTTCGTTTCTATAAAAGCTCGAAATGATTTTTCTTTAGCCTTTTCATCTTTTCCATCATCGATTAACTCATCAAAAACGTTTCTTACTTAATTTTCTGAAATCCTAATTCACCTTCTATTTTATCTCATTCCAATTCATTTTCAAACAACTCAGAGACTCAGATTCATGATTTCGAAGCTCAAAAAGCACAAAATTAAGAATTTTCAAATTTTTTGATTTCCCCAGAGAACTGATTTCAAGATTTATTTAAAATCGGGATTCTTTTAATTATTTTCACATGTTTTGCAGAAGTTTGATCTATTAGGTTGATGCATAAGTCTTTTTGTTCCTTTTCGTCTGCCGTTTCAAGCCAACAAATGCACCAATTAAACTACGGTTGATTTCATTAGAAAAACCAATTATTTTTCTGCAAAATAACATTAAAACGGGTTTAAAAATATTTAATGCCTGGATTTTCTTGAGAGTGTGAAGTCGGGTAGTCAAAAAGGGCTAACTCGATGATGCGGTTTAGACACCTTAGCTAAAGAAAACCTATCTTCGTGTCAATAGATAAAAGATAGAGAAAAAAACGTTTGAGATTTCGTCAAAATTTCAGAGAAATTCATTCAGCCAATTTTTCCGTAGAGTTTTTTATAGATTTTTACGAAAAAGGCGTTTTTCACTCTCGAATTTGCTTGAAAGTGAACCGAAATTGATTTAAAAAGATGGAAATTGAACAAAAAAACACTTTTTTTTATAGAGCAAACTATAGATTAATTGGTGAATTTGTTACTTTTTAACAGAAGTACGAAAAAAACGAAAAGACTTATGCATCAACCTATTATTTTGAACTCTTTGACTCATCTAGTTTCAAATTTGGCGACTACTTTTGGGCATAAACTTTATAGCGAGTTGAAAAACTTTTCCAAATTTGAAACCTTTTTTTGTAAATTGTTAAAGCTAGATATGTGATTCATTGTTTGGAAAAGAATATGAAATGATTTTTCTTTCATTTTTCAATCATTTCCCAGTAAACGAATCGAATTTGCATCGAAAATTTCGAATTTCATTTTTAACTTTATAAAATTAGTCTGTATTTAAAAATTATCGCCTAAATCAGGTACAAATTGGGCTATTTCTTTTGCAATTTTGTATGTTTTTAACTTAAAAGAACCAGCTTTAAAAGGAAATTTTGCAAAAATTCTACCATTAGACTTGCTGATTTAGTAGAATGGATTCATTCTTTTGAAATAGACACTTTTTTTGTGTACTTGATTTTTTCAACTTCTTGAAAAGATCACTCATCAATTGTTTTGGCCAAAAAAGAAAAACTGTACAATGTAATTTTGCATGTTTCAAAATGATCAATTTGATTGGGTTTTCATGCAGGAAACCAAAACCCGTACTAGACCTGGGAAAATTCCAAGCCGAACCTAATTCCACCATGGTTTTCGCAGCCGTCTCTTGGCCAATTGTTCTGAAATTTTGTTTACAAATAGAAATTGTCATTCTCTGCTTGTAGACAAAATTTCAGAGCAATCGGTCAAGAAACGGCTGAGAAAACGAAGGTGGAATTAGGTTCGGATTGGAATTTTTCCATGTCTAATCTGTACCGATTATTCCTTTGATTCCTGAACCGATTGATCTGCAAACAACGGTATTTTCCGTCAATACCGATGAAATTGACAATAGCAAATAGATCTAACTAAACTTTAATTCTTCAAAACTTCAAAACAACCTTTTTATGTAAGACTATTGGAAGTTATTGGTTGATTTTATTAGAGCGGCTTCTCGGAGTTGACATCTTCTTTGCATGTTTCAAAAAAACCCCCCCAAATTCAACTTCATTCCATTGGCTAACAATTCAACAATCAATTCTCAATGCGGTGCTTTCAATTTTTCAAATAAGATTACTTACTTAAAAGGTTAAATTGTGAAAAATTAGAAGGTCAACCAAGGTTACCTCCCAATTTTTCACAATTTAACCAAAATCTCCCCATTTTACTGTAAATATTCACTTAGATATTTACTTTCATAGCATTCATTGACTGATTTATTTGATCGAGTTTTCAGATTTGAAAAGTTTTTGTTTCAGAAAAATTTTTTAACTCTTTAAAAACTAAACATCAAGGGGGAAATCTTTAGAATTTTAATTCAGCTCTAGTTTTCTTGTCTGATTATCTTGTGATTCTTGTGATTTAGGTGATTAGCATTACCATTGTTATTCCAAATATTTGCCTATTCACTTTGAAACTCGTTAATTTCTATGATCAGACAGAAAAAAACAAATCCCCAAAGATTTCTTTCAAGCCTCAATCTCCAAATCTCTATTCCTTTCCCCATTTCCCTTCCAACTTTTCCAACTGTCATCTTGCATTAAATTGAACTTTATTTACGTGTTCGGATAACGTTCAGTTATTTTTTCTCTTATTTTCTCAAATTTCACATCGAATACAGATCAGTCTCGTCTTTTTTTCGTGGTGTTTGATCGGTCAAAAAGGAATCTCAATAGTGTAAATTCTTCTCACTTATCACTTATTTTTAAACTCATTTTTTCAACGAATACCATAGAAATTCTCACTTTTCAATAGCATCATGCTCTTTCCTTTATAATCATTTCTTAAAGCAAAGACCTATTCTAAAATCCAAGCTCTACTTTATCTCATGTTTCAAGTGAATCGACTACACTGAAGGTTTCCACTTGTCAATGACATTGAAGCCTCTTTCACAAAGAAATTTTCTTATTTTTTTACTGATTTGAATAAGATCTGGAGAATTGAGAAAAGGAGAATTGTTTTTTGTTCATTCTATCGAGATTTACGTTAACAAATCAACATTTCTCCACTTTGAAATTCCCATTTTCAAATGAACAATCTGAGAAGTTTACACGGTTTTTTTGAATCCATTTATGACAAAATTGACACAACTTGTCTATTCGTTCTCATGCTTTAAAGGTAAATGTATTTCGATAAAAGTTCTCAATTTTCAATCATAGTTTCATTCTTCTCTTTTCATTCTTTCCATTCTTTTCATTCTTTCCCAAATGAAAACAACTAAAATCTATCATTTTCCTCGTTTTCCTGCTTTGAAAGAAAAGATATAAAAACGAAAAATTGAGTTCTAGAAGATTTAAGAAGTTTGATGAAGAAAAAGAAAACGCAAATTCTTTACTTTACTTAATATTTCAAACACTGGATAGAAAAGTGCTTGGATTTCAAAATTTCCAACTCAAACCGTTCACTTTGAAACTTTCATCTTCTCATTAGTAATTTGGGCAGTTTTCATGAAGCTTTCAAAATTAAATTTTAAAATTTAGCACACAAAAAAGCGCTGCAAATATTATTTCACGTCACACGATTTCCGGGGCGAATGAGTGGAAAAAATTTGTGAGTGTGACGCGAAAAAAAACTCATCGCCTTCCTACAATTTCCGATAAAAAGACACATTTTGGTGCGATTGTGTGACACAAAAAATGGAAAAATTGAAGAGGTTTGTGATTTTTGCGTCTACCAATAAGGTATAGTTTTGCAGAATGAATCAAATTTTCCTAGTTTCAAAATCATTGACGTTGAAAGCGTAAAAGAAAAGCTTAATAATTTAGTAATTTTGAAATATATAGAAATATATTGGGTTGGTGAATTGAAAACTGCCAGACATTGAATTAAAACTTATTCAACATAAAACCATCAATTCATTCAATAATTTCCATTATTATTGACGACTTCTGCCCATTTTACAGGCAATTTGCGGATTCCTCTTTCGTAGTAGGATTTTGGTTTGTGTGTGAGACAAGTGTGAGACTCAGAAATGGAGGACTGGAGATGTCCCAGTGTCCCAGTTTGAGCACTTTCTTCAAAAGAAACCCATTTTGTTGTCAATAGAAAAGTTGTAGAGAATCAAAAACTAGGCTTATAGCCAAATTTCCAAAAAGATTCACTTAGTAGTTTCGCTTAAAATGCAAGTTTTGTGAAATGAAGTTTTGTGAATTCGTAAATTTGGCATTTCTTGAAAACCAGTTTTTGAATCGTTCTGAAAATTTGGATATAAGCTTGATTTTTGATTCTCTACAACTTTTCCATTGACACCAAAATGGGTTTCTTTTGAAGAAAGTGCTCAAACCGTGACATATGACAATAGCCGGCAGTTTTCAATTCACCAACCCAATAGAAATATAGAAAATAATTTAGAATAGTAATTGATTGAAGAAAAGGGTGAAAAAGCCATATGGATTCAAAAATATTCAATGAATATATTTTCAGTAAAGATACGGTAAATATTTGGTAAATTTGGCACCAGAATATTAGCCATTCTTGCTACTGAACTAAAATCATATTCAAGGTTGACTAAAATCATATTCAAGGTCATAATCGAGCTTGTTTGCTCGATAATTTTCGACATATTTATGATTTACGGTTTCTTTAAAGGAAAATATCCTTTAAATAGCTTTAGATTGCTTTAAAGGATACATTCACGAATAATCCGAAATAAAAACAAATACAAAAGCAGCCCTAAATGCCCTAAATGTAGAGAAAAAACATATATAGATGAAAAAAGGAATAATCTAGCCGGCGGAATTGAACCCTTGATTTCCTGACTAAGATATAGAGCACTTAACCAGTCGGTGACTATTTTTTCCAACATGTCAATGGACACAAACTAAACCACTCTTTACGCTCTCAAGTCGTCTAATTTTGAAACTAGAAAGTTTGAAGCCATTCTAGCCAAGTAGTCAAAATGATTGGCGGGCAAAATATTGAATTACCAACTAGAAAATGCAACATTTTTGCTCTTTTTGCTTTCAGATTTTTAATTTTAAGCAAAATACAAGTTGAAGAAGCGCGAACTGTGTCTAAAATTGATTTAATGATTGATCTAGACTCGAAAATTTGGTTAGTTTGGAACTAGAAAAATTTAAAAGCACCTTTCTCAATAGAAATGTTGCTGATCGATTGTTTATCAAATAAGAAATACGTTCACTTTAATTTCTAACTTTTCCTTTCTCCAGTCTCCGCTCTCAAATGAACATCGAGCCGGCGCTGATCTTCGCGGCAATGTCGATGAGTTTTCTCCTCACCTCACAGCCACAATTCCAGTATTGGGCACGATGTATCGAGATTGGACAGGAAAAGGTGGGGGAAACTGAGTGAATTTCAAACAATCAACAACAACAAAAACAACAACAAAAAACAAAAAATCATTCGCAAAAAAGTCAAATGAATTATTGATCCCTATTTCACGCGTTTAACTCATGATAAATTGAAACTTGGATTTTAAACTCCAAAATTTTTCCAGGGTTTCAACGATTCGATGTGTGAACGATCGGAGATCCCGGATGATGACGAGTTTAATAAAGAAATACAAAAGGATATCTCTGAGATGAGGATTTACATTCAGGTAAAGATTTTTTTGATCAGTGAAGGGGAGATTCCAATTGAGGAAAAAGAATGTTTCAACTTAGACTCACTGCTTTGGTTTAAGTCGATACTAACCAGTGAGACGCTTTTTTGAAAACTATTAAGGACGCAGATTTTCAGGTAATGAGTTGCTGAAAAAGCTTTTGAAAAGACACAAAACGAAGCGGTTCTAGAAAGGAAAATAAAGGAATATGTGTCATTTTATCAGTTGGCCAAAAAGTACATACTTTTCCATTCTATCACCCCAATCCCAGTATCTATGCTAACGCCTGTTTTCACCGTTGGTTGCAAGTACAGTCGACGCTCAATAGTAACTTTATTCAGCACCTCCGGACCTTCTGGGACACAAAACTTGCGTAATTAAATTGGCGTATCGACATTATTCAGCAAATGAATAAGAGACTAGTTAAATTTGCAGAGAATAGAAAAGGGTATTGACAATAAAGAAATCTAGGAGGAAAACTGAAAATAATTGGAATGACAGCTTCACGAAAGGAATTTCAATGCGAAAAATAGCAATCATTGTGCTAGACAAGTTTAAAAGCTGTTTAAACTGGGATTGGGGTGATAGAATGGAAAAGTATGTACTTTTTTTGGCAACTGGTAAAATGACACATTTCTTTATTTTCCTTGTTTAAAAACGACGAAAGATCATCAATTTTTAATGCTAATTTGTAAGGAAATCAACACGAATTTGAAAGCGATTGAATTTCAAAATTTCACACTCAAACCGTTCCCTTTGAAACTTTCATCTTCTGATTGGTAATTTGGGCACTTTTCATGAAGCTTTCAAAATTAATCTTATAAATGAAAACAAATTTCAAAATTTCTTTAAAAATCTTCAAATTAACTTTTTTTCTAGATCGCTAACTCGTTGCCAAACATCATCTCAGCTCCATTACTTGGCATTTGGGCGGATCGATCAGGTGACAATTGTCAAGTTTCAAAAGGATTAAAGGTCAAAAACAAAATGTTTTAAGCAATTCGTGATCAGAAAGCCACAATAACCCACCGTAGACACTGTAATGGTGTACTTTTAATTGAAAAATTTGATTTCCAAGTAAATCTTAAACCATTCACATGTTAATTGAACATTTTTATTTTATCTTAAACCATTTTGAGCTTCAAAGCACAATCCTAAGTTTCAATTTTTGTCAAGTACAAAAGGAATTCAAAGAATCTAGTGTTTCGGTTTGGTTGGCTCATTTTTTCTTTGCTTACGATTTAACTGGCTCATTTTTCCTTGGTTATCAATTGTAAAATTGCAATGGATTCGATTTTTTTAAAACTTAAAGTTTCAACTTTATCAAATAAAGGAGGAATTCGAACCATTTAACGAGGGGGCTCCCTGTTCAGTTTAAAAGTAATTCATTGATTGATTTGAAAATTGTTTGACTTACGAATTTCCCATAGTTTACCCAAATTCAACTCACTTTTAGGTCGAAAAATCCCACTGATCTTCTCGATTTGCGGTTTCTGCATTTACGCTCTTTTGTACATCGTCGCAACGCTCACCTATCGACACATTAATGTATATATTTGGTGAGTAAAAAAAGACAAGATTGCAAGAAAAATCACTCTTAAATTAGAGTGTGTTCCTTGCGAGTAAGTAATTACTCGAGTGAAAATTTGCATGAGTGATTTTTACTCGATTAATCGACCTTTTTTTGACCGAGTAACGACGAGTAATCCTCTTTACACGTCGAGTAAATTGAATCTCTTTACATTTGACAGGAACTTGTCACTAAATCAGTGAAACAGCTGAATATCTTGAAAAGGAATCGTAGATAGGTCGGAGCTCGTGATTTTTTTGCGCCAATTTTTTGCAAAACTACGATAATTTTCCCCAAATATGTGTTTTAAAAAATGCATTACTCGCGGAAAGGTTTGTAGAATGGGATATGAACGAGAAAAAGATCGAAATACCATCATCCCATTGGTATAGTCATTTGTTGAAACAAGCTGAATAACATGAAACTTGGGATTTCTTTTTGAAGCAAATTTGAATACCGCCAGCAAGTTCTAATACTGAAATTGCTTGGTCAAGCCCCAAAAATTAACCCTTTCATCAAAGAATTCGTTTCAAGCCATGTAAGAACTAAGAACACACTCTATTGCATACAATTGGGTTTAAACCGTATTACGGTTTTGGATTCCACATGATTTAACGAACACCCAGAGATGGCAACGTGTCAGAAAACAGTGCCACTCATGCTACGCCACTGCTTTTGCGCTACCGTCTAAACTTTTGAAACGCACTGTAGAATCGTTAAATCGTGCGAAAAGTCTTGAGCTTTAAAGTCTGAAATTGTTTTCACGAAACACTTCTTTCATTGATTGAATAGAAATTGATGGTTTCAAGCTGAGGTAAAGCCATCGAATTTTGATAGCTATTTATCTAATATCTAATGTGGACGACGTTTAACAACTTTTCACATCAAAATAAACAAAATTTGATTTGTCAGGACCAAGGCTAGGCCAAATTTTTGCCAAGTTAATCTCAATTTCCTCCTAGGTTTTTCATCTCGGAAACGATTTGGGGTCTTTCGGGCGGATCGTGTGGTTTAATCGGCACAATGTTCGCGATGATCATCGATGAGACGAGGAAAACACCGAATTCGGTGCGATTTGAGGGAAAAACGAATGAAAAACCATAACGAGGCAAATATTTTCATTTCCTTTTTTCTAGGGAAATCTGGCGGTCCCCTTTCGAATCGTTCTCGGCGCGGCGCTTCAAAATTTCGGTGGTTTCGCTGGGAATATCGGTGAGCATTCAAAATCTCTCATTTCTTGAGGTTAGCAATTGAAAATCTAGCATTAAAAGCCTAAAATTTCCTCAATTTTTCAGTAATCACAATGCTCTCCGATCTCAACTCACGCTATTTGATCTGTGCTATTTTACGTGAGTTTTTTATCAGTTATTTTCACCAATTATTTTTAATTTTTCCGTTTTCAACTTTTCGTTTTCAAAAATCGTTTTTTCAAAGTCTTCTCTACTTTTGCAAATCATTTTTGAGCTATTTTTTGATTTAAAAAGCACATTTGGATGAAAAATTGATAAAATTCTTCTAAACAAACAAAATTTGACATGTTTTCAGAGTGCATTTTCATCTTTTTGACCCTTTCCTATGTTGTATTATTCTCACATGAGACTCATCATCCAAATCGAATCATCGAAACGGCGTATGAGACTGGGAAAGGTTTGTAGAATGGGATATAAACGCGAAAAAAATTGAAATACCATCATGATGCATCATCCCATTGGTATTGATGTTTGTTGAAACAAGCTGAATAACATGAAACTTGGGATTTCTCTTTGAAGCAAATTTGAATACCGCCAGCAAGTTCTAATACCGAAATTGCCTGGTCAAGCCCCATAAAATTAACCCTTTCATCAAAGGATTCGTTTCAAGCCCTGTAAGAACTAAGAAAATCCTTTTTTTGCGGCATATGCGGCAACGATACCATTATTAAAGGCCAGTCTCTCGGGATTTTCAAAGAATTTGAAATCCTGGTCTTTTTTTGAAGCAAATTGTCATTCTATGAACATAAGAATCGTATCATAACCGTTTCTTTAAAGCTTTAAAGCTTTAAAAAGTAAAATTACTAAGTTTTTATAGCTAAAATGCAATTTCCCTTTAGTTTCAGTCGATTCGACCTCGCAGAACTCGAAAATCCCCTCATTCACATCGCGCTATTTCTCCGAGATCTGGACGTCAATCATTGAGGTTTTGATCAACTTAAAAATAGAAAAAAAAAAGTTGTAAATCTGTCTAAAGTTGTTTAAAATATACTAAAACGCCAAATTGGTTAATTTTAATCTTTTAAAAATAACAAGTATTAGCCCCAAAATTGGGTGCTATTATTGCATAATTTTGAAACTCAACTTTTTAAAATTCTGGGATTAAACTGTAATATATGAGGTTTTTTCACCAAAAAAAAGTTGACATTGCCTTTTTTAATTCTCCAAATCGTTTAAACTAGATTTTCAACATCCGAATAACTTTGAAGCTCAAATTCATTCCTTTCTCTTACTCCTTCCTTACTATTCTCAGTTCTCAGGTTTATTCCGTAAAACTAGGAAATTTCTAGATAAAATCTTAATCCTCGAGAGTCAAACAAGATTAAAGTCTCGATTCCTAAACATATTCTCATAAATTTGAAACTAAACTTTCCCAATTTTCAGGTTTTATTCCGTAAACGTCGTGGCTGGGTCCGTTTCTGCATCATCACCTCACTCGGCCTTTCCGTTGTCGAATTGATTGTGTTAGGTAAAATTCAAACAAAACCCACTTTATTTAAAAGTTTCCCCATTTCAGACATTAACTACATCTATTTGTACATAAAACGGCCGCATTTCGATTGGAGTGATCGAACATTTTCCCTTTTTATGACACTTAAGGGATTGTGTGCGGCAACGGGAATGCTTTTAGGGTAAAGGAAAACGATTTTCGCTTAGATTTCGTTCAATTTTAAAATTGCATTCAAACCAATAGATCAAAAGTGGTTTTTAGAAAAGCTAATGGCTTAAACACAATTGACTTTTTAGTATACTTTAAAGCATTGATTTTATTGAAACTCGTCATTTTTAAACTCTTTTTCCCTTCTTTTTTCCTTCTTTTTCCCTTTGTTGAGAGTTCTAGAGCTAAAGCACTCAAATTCTGTAAAAATATAATATATTAGGGGAAATATTTACGGTGATAATACCTGAATATCTCAAACGTAAGCTAAAGTTAGTTAAAGTTAAACGTAGAAGTCAATCATTCGAGCAAGTCATTCAAAATTTGAACAAATCACATCATTTTAATTGCCTTGCTATCGATGTTAGCCCAATTAGGCATTGTTTTTGATGCAAAAGAATGTTGATTGGATTCACAAAGTATCAAAAGATACAGAAAAAGTGGATAAATTCGATAAAAATAGAGAAAAGATTACAGTAGAAAGGGAAAAGGAAAGGAAAATGTTTTAAGGAATAGATTAGTGAAGGAGAATAATCGATTCATATATTCATGGAAAAATCGTATATTTTTTTTCTCAGGCCACCTTTTATTTTGAATTGGGAAGATTTTCCATGCTTTTGCACCCTTTATTTTCTTTTTTGCCACTCCCTTTTTATATGGGCGCTGGGCTAAGAAAGAAAATTAAAATTATCTGTGTTGATTAGGACCGGTAAAATTGTTTGCACTGTTTTAAAATTTCTTGAAGTATCAAAAAAAAAAAACCCCGATTATTCGTCATTCTTTTCGTCATTCACAGGAACAACTCGTAAGTCATTTTTTTGTATTTTTTGTTTCGTGGGTGGATGAAAGAAATATTCCAATTAAATTTGTATTCGTTTTTTTTTTTTTTTTTTTTTCTTTTTTTTTTTTCCCCTTTTTTTTTTTTTTTTTTCTCCTTTTTTTTTCCCCTCCCCCTTTTAATTTCTATAACACCCTCCCGGGTTTTTGCCCCCGCTTTTTATAATTGGTCTCTCGATTGGTGGGATGGGTTCTCATTCCTCGTTGCTGCAATTTTCATCACATTTGCCGCATTGGGACAATGGTGAGTACAAAAAGGAATAAATGAAAAAGAATTTGGAGGGGAGTTGAACCCTCGACTTATCTGCTCGAGATGCTCTACCATTGAGCTATTGGCGCCTTCTTTGAGGAAGAGAAAAATAGGAAAGATAAGGAAGAGAGAGAGAAAAACAGTACAGCAGACAAAAAGCAAAGAATATTATAAAAATTAGAATACCTTTGAGACTTGAAATTTATCGTTTTAAGTTTATCCGCTTTAGAATCCAATCGACATACGTGCTAAACTTTTAATTTTCAAATAGAAAACTCGAGTTTTATTTTCATTTAAAATCACAACTAAATCTTTTGAGCTTAAGACAAAGTTTACAGACTTAGTTTTAAGTTTGTTTGGCTGGTTTCCGGCTGGTTTTTTGGGGCTGACAGGTTGTCGCCGGGTGCATTTCTACCGCCCACACGAGTCGGGTTCGACTCCCCGTACTCCCACTCGACTTTGGTTTTTGCAATTTTTTATTTAAAATGGGAAAACTACAATCAACTACAATATATTCTAAGGTTTTCTAAAGAGTTTTAGCTTTATTGTTGAGAAAACAACTGAGAAAATGCCCACAAAAAAAGTTTGAGAACCAAAAAACTAAGCCTTTGAAAAAGCAATTTTAAAAAATCATTTGCTTTGAAAGCCTTGAATATTTATGTTTCTAAGTTAAACCTAATATTGTTTTTTCAGCATTGATATCTTCGAGAATGAAAATTATTCAAATTTTTTATCGATTTTAAGTCAAAATCTTAAACCTCACAAGTAAATTGCCTCAAAATTTGAGCGGAAAACACAAAAATGACAAAATCTTCCAATCCTCTCACTTTTTAAAAGTCATGTTTCAAAATAAGCAACCCTCATTGATTTGTAATCATTTTAATGAGACGGCCATTTTGCCTGTTTCTATTTCTTTTCAAAATCAAATTTAAAATTTAAAATTCGTAATTATAAGATTTCATCAAAAATGCATATCAAAACTAATCTTTGACAGGATTTATTTGAAATTTTAAAGTGACAAGCAGGCATTTGCCGGGATTTTATTGCTATCTATTAAGGCAAATGATCTTTTATTGTATCAATGATGCTTGAAGTCATTTTTTAAAGTAAATATTTAAAGTAAATAATCCTAAAAGTTTTATAGCACTTTCGTGATAAAGCAAATTTTGAAAATTGAGTTAAAAATTTTTCAAAATTCCTTGATTTCATTTCAGTTTTATGCACCGTTTTTTTATCTATATAAATACTATAGTTAGAAAGAAATAAAGTGCGAAAACGACATGGAAAATGTAGCAGATAAAAGATCAACTCACTTAAAATGTCACTTAAAATGCGACGAAGTAGCCCTTTTGAAAATCAGACACGGTGGAGATCAAACGCAACTTGTCAGGAAGGGCATTGCAAACTTTAATCACACGATTTACAAAAAAAGCTCTAGAGGATTTAGAGAAAGCAGATTCGAGATGCAAGATAAAAGAGCCACGCCTAGTCGCCAAAAGCCTCGAGTTTAGCCGTAAAAACTTTTTAAAAAGAGGGTTTTGATGTTTTCCTTTTACAATTTTAAAGCAATCAACCAAATCTAGGATAAGGCGGCGCTGGCGCTGAAAATTGGGTTTAAAATTTTTCAAAATTCTTTGATTTCCTTTCAGTTTTATGCACCGTTTGATGTACCCGATTTGGCGCCAGGAATACGAGGCAGAACAAAAGGAAAAAGTGACGAGATTCGATGAAATACACGAATTAGGATGAATTGAATTCAAAGAAAAAAAAGCAATCAATTGATCTTTGTATATAGTGGGGAAATTACTAATAAAAGACTTTTGTTCTAATTTAAATATTAAACAAAAATACAGTGATTGCCTGTGTGCATGAAATGCAAAAAAAAACAAATCTAAAGTGTGATCCTGGTCTAGATATCTAGATATCTTTAGCAATTCCTCCACAAATGCACGGATATGGAAGAAAAAATCGACGATCAGGGGTGGGCGGATGATCCGAGACGGTGATCGTTAGCTTCTACCATTTTCTTAAATGCACATTCGATTTTGCTTTTATTCCAGGACTACTCGTTAATTTTTCTTTCAAATGGGTTGTAGGCTATGTATAAAGGGTGCGCCATAATTACCCGCACAACATTTTATAGGCAACCCCACATTGTTAAAAGTGATTTTTTTCTGTTTTTACTGGACAACATTCTTTTGTAGTTCTTTTATCTGTTTTGTTTCGTAATTCATTTGAAGCTTTAAGGTGAACGTAAAATGGTGAAGCCATCGGCAATTCGAGGGGCGAGAGTCGATCTTCATCAAAAGGGCGTTTCTCCACCCGACATCATTCGACGACTCAAACTGCCTCGGCGTACGGTTTATGATGCTATCGCACGTGGAACACTTAAGGACCGTCCAAGAACAGGAAGAAAAGTTACCGTCACGGCCAATAGGCTCTAGAAAATCGTCAAGAAACGAATCCAACGATTGTAGACATGTAGACAAGCTGATTGTGTTGCTGGCTGCTTAGGTAGCCAATCTCTTCCAAATTTCACATTATTTCCTGGAATTATTAGGTTGGCAACTTAATAATGACGCGTCACTACTTAGCATGTTTTTTGTAATTTCAAGCGCCGTTTCTTCCCTCTTTTTTTGCATATATACCAAATTAAAAGATGTCTGCAAAAATAACATTTAGTGCTCCAAATTTCATCATTTGCTTTTTGGCAAAAAAATGGAGGACAAAAAATTCCGTATTCGAGCTGCATTGTTCTACGATTTTAAACAAGGAAAATCACCAGCTGAATCTTATCGCACGATCATCACTGTTTTTGGAGAGGAAAGTATACACATTTGGCAATGCCAACGATGGTTTCATAGATTCCAAGGCGGCGATGAAAGCCTCGTAGACGAGCCACACCAAGGACATCCTCCAGAAGTGGTCGACGATGACTTGCCCGCCTTAATTGAAGATTGCCCAACACTCACCGTTCGTGAGTTGGCAGAAATATTTGAAGTATCCCATACGACAATCGAAAACTATTTACACAAACTTGGGAAAAAGAATCGTGTTGGAAAATGGGTTCCTCACGAACTGACCCAAAGCAACAAAATGGCCCGTGTCAATGTCGCCTCAATTTTGCTACAAAAATGTAAATCAAACGACTTTTTGCACAGGGTTTTGACTTCTGACGAAACGTGGATCAACTACGAGAAAGTTAAACGCAAAAATCAATGGCTATCTGCTGGGCAGACCCCTCAAACCACTCCCAAACCTGATATCCATGGGAAGAAGATAATGCTCTGTTGCTGGTGGAACTTCAAGGGATTGGTGCATTATGAAGTGCTGAAACCTGGCCAAACCGTCGATGCTGATCTTTATTCGAAGCAATTAATGAGAGTTAACGAGCCTTTGAAGAAATTGGGGCTCAAACCGGAGAGAGTCAGATTTTTACATGACAACGCAAAACCGCACACTGCAAAGATCACTTATAAGAAAATCGAGGAACTTGGCTGGAAAGTTTTGCCCCACGCGTCTTATTCACCTGATCTGGCTCCTTCAGATTACTTTTTGTTTCGGTCGTTGAAGCACTTTTTGGAGGGAGAAAAGTTCGATGATCATGCTCAGGTCATAAAAGCAGTGAATGACTACTTCGCCTCAAAAACTCCCAAGTTCTTCGAGGATGGGATCCGGGATTCGCGCAGAAGATGGGAAGAAGTCATAGATACTAATGGGGAATACCTTTCGAATTGAAAGCTCTTCTTTTGTGTTTTTTTGAAATAAATGATTTCTTACATAAACGCGTCATTATTAAGTTGCCAACCTAATATTTAATCAAAGATTCACCTAAATTGGTCAAATGAACTGAATTGAAATTGATCAGAGCAAACGATCTCGCTAGAT